TTGGTGATTTGTTTCTCCATCTCATTAAAAAATGCCATTGGAATTTGGATTGGGATTTCATTGTATGTGTTGGTCGCTTTGGGTAGAATTGACATTTTCACAATGTTGAGTCTCCTAACCATGAGCAAGGTATGTGTTTCCACTTCTGTAGGTCTCTTTTGGTTTCTTGCAGTAGTGTCTTGTAGTTTTCTTTGTACAGGTCATTTACATCTCTGGTTAGATATACTCCTAATTGAATATAATTGATTTTTGTATGTTTATCTTGTATCCTGATAATTTGCTGAAATCTTCTATTAGTCCCAGTAGTTTTCTTGTGGATTCTTTGGGGTTTTCTGTGTATAAGATTATATCATCTGCAAATAGAGATACTTAGACTTCTTCCCTACCAATTTGGATGCCTTTATTTCTTTTTCTAGCCTAATTGCTCTGGCTAGGACCTCCAGCACAACATCAAATAAGAGTGGTGATAAAGGGCATCCTTGTCTGGTTCCCATTCTCAGGGGGAATGCTTTCAAAGTCTCTCCATTTAGGATGATGTTAGCTGTTGGCTTTATGTAAATGCCCTTAATTATACTGAGGAATTTCCCTTCTGTTCCTATTTTGTTAAGAGTTTTTATCATGAATGTGTGTTGGACTTTGTCAAATGCCTTTTCTGCATCGATTGATATGATCATGTGGTTCTTGTCTTTTGTTTCATTTATGTGATGGATTATATTGATTGTTTTACTAATGTTGAACTATCCCTGCATACCTGGTATAAATCCCACTTGGTCGTGGTGAATTGTTTTTTTGATGTGTTGCTGAATTCTATTGGCTAGAATTTTGTCAAGGATTTTTGCATCTATGTTCATGAGGGATACTGGTCTGTAATTTTCTTTTTTTATGCTGTCTTTACCTAGTTTTGGTATCAGAGTTATGCTGGCTTCATAGAATGAGTTTGGGAGTATTCCATCGTTTTCTATGCTCTGAAATACCTTTAGTAGTAGTGGTGTTAACTCTTCTCTGAAAGTTTGGTAGAATTCTCCAGTGAAGGTGTCTGGGCTGGAGCTTTTTTTTGTTGGGGGTTTTTTAATTACCTTTTCAATCCCTTCTTTTGTTGTGGCTTTATTTAGTTGTTCTACCTCTGTTTGTGTTAGTTTAGGTAGGTAGTGAGTTTCTAGAAATTTGTCCATTTCCTCTCGGTTTTCAAATTTGTTAGAGTATAATTTTTCATAGTATTCTGTTATGATTCTTTTAATTTCCGTTGGGTCTGTTGTGATATCACCCATCTTATTTCTTATATGGGTTATTTGCTTCCTCTCCTGCTTTTCTTTTGTCAGTTTGGCCGATAATTTTGATCTTTTCAAAGAACCAGCTTTGGGTCTTGTTAACTCTTCCAGTTGTTTTTCTGTTCTCTATTTCATTTAATTCTGCTCCAGTTCTTATTATTTCCTTTCTTCTGGTGCCTGGGGGCTTCTTTTGCTGCTCTCTTTCTACTTGTTCCAGTTGTATAAACTCCAGTATTTTTAAGAAAATATATTGACTATAGCATTTATAAAGTCAGATTATTCCCTCCTAAATTCAGATAGTGAATCCCTGCATGGGTAGTGCAAACAGTAACACGCTCAGCTGCTAACCAAGATGTTGGAGGTTCAGCTCCACCCAGAGGCACCTTGGAAGAAAGGCCTGGTGATCTACTTCCAAAAAATCAGCCACTGAAAACCCAGTGGAGCACAGTTCTACTCTGACACACATGGAGTCACCATGAGTCAAAACTGACTCAACGGCAAATGGTTTTTAAATTCAGATATGTTGTTATCTGATATGTTTTTCCACCCTGGTAGGTTATGTATAGAGTTCTCTTTCTTTATAAAAGAACCAAAAAGTTTGCCCTTTCTTTGTCAGAGAGATTTTTTGCCTAATAGACTAGAGTAACCAGAATACTAGAATATTTCTTCTTTAGCCTTACGTGTATCACTGACTCTTCACTTTGGGAATTCAGTCATTAAACCCTTCTCTACTCAAACTTTTAGCTTGGTAAGGTAAATCATAGTAATATCTGTAGTCTATTTTGTAATGATGGCCTAAGAATTAATAAAATAGTATATGTAAGATGCTTTGAACTTTACAGAGAAAGGGATGTAAAAATCCAAGGGCACTGTTACTAGTGTTATTATTGTCAGGGAGGATTATGTTTGTACTATCTCATCATTAAAAATATTCCAGGAATTAAAATTACAGATGGTTATGCATAGAATATTTCACCAAATCATTGAAAAGGAATCTCTTGTAGGAATCTGGTAAATAGACGCAGGATATTTCTTTGACTGTGTTACTCAAGTTAATGCGATTTTTTTCGTGCTGCATTGTAGTAGATAGATAAGCAAATAATGATGCTAAAAGCATCCCCCTCAGCCTGGCAGCTGTGTGTCCTTTCCTTGTGGTGACTGAAGGCTCATCCTGCATTAGCCTTTCCTTCCTTCATTCCTTCCTTCTTCCGTTCCTCTCTCCCTTTCTCCCTCCTTACCTCTGTTGCTTCCTTTCTTCCTCGCTCCCTCCCTCCCTCCCTCCTCCCCTCCCTCCTTCTTTCCCTCCCTCCCCCTCTCCCTTCTTCTTTCCTTTGGATCTAGGGTGAAGGACTGAAAAATGTGCCCTCGTTCGGCATAACAGAAAGAGAAAGAGGGCTTTTTAAAGTCTGCCAGAGTTGCTCCTAATGAAAAAATATAATAACGAAGATTTTGTAGCTTGTCTAAATGGGAATATTACTGATCTCCTATGTAGAAAATATTTCTGGCCAAATGGGCTATTTAAGAATTCTAGCATATGCTCCCTTATGTTACTGACCTTTTTATTTATATATCCTCGCTCCCTAAAGCCTCTCGAAAGCAGAGATTGTATTTTAAACAGCTTTGTTCAGAGTTCCCAAATTCAAACACAATGGTGAGTACTTAGGAAATGTCAGAATAGTGGAAGATAAATATTTTACAGAGAAAGAAGCGGTAAATAGAGCTGACTCTATAAGGCTGCCAAGTCCTTGAAGCTGGTCGTCAGGACTAGTGGTCATCAGACAATGTTAAGACAGCATTCCCTAGACTTGTCAGAAAAAGTGTGAGGGGAAAACTTGAGGAGAGGACTCTTGATATTAGACATCAGAAGCATTAGCACTAATTGGTGATGATTCTCCAAATGTTTCCAATGCAGTGTCAAAAACGGTATTTCTCTGCCTGGCACGAGCTGATTCTTGATCATAGGATTGAGCTGGGGAAAGCTGGGACCCTGTCCGACTGGAAGTTTCAACTAAAGGTCCTGCGAGCCTGGAGAGACTACACAAGATCCCAGAAGTTGGAGCGGGAGACTCAAGCCGTGGAAAATGATCTTAGGGAAGAAAACAGGTACCATTATTTGTACTGCTTTCTGGAACATCTCATCCATACAGAAAATGTGGGAATCACTGTTTTACCATCTCAAACTAGAGAAATTTAACTGACAATTTTAAGCAAACAAAACAATTTGATTAATAGATACTAATGTTCATGTTTCTTTTATTTATTTTTTTTTTAAAGAGACAAACATTAGGCTTCTCCCTGCCTTTCAGTGCACTAGCGTCACACCTTTGACCATCTTATGATTCAAAAGAGGGAGTTTGGTTTATGCGCCAGTGGTTCTCTGGATAGAGTCACTCTGTGCACATAAAATGCTAATGAGGCACCAGGAACACCCACCTGGGAGGGCAGACCTGCCAAGAGCACTTCTTCCCATGCCCCCATCTTCAGAGGTTTTGACACCTTTATATCAGCTCCCCCTTCTCTTCTTCTTTTTGGTAAATATATACATAACAAATCATTTGCCATTTCATCTTTTTCACATGTACAGTTCAGTGACTTTAATGAAATTTATCATGTTCAACTATCACTATTACGCATTTCCAAGTTTTTTCCATCACCCTTAATAGAAGCTCAGTGTCTCCCAAGCAATGAGTTCCCCTTTCCCCCTGTCTCCCCCCATCCCTGGCAACCACTAATAAACATTAGTCTTGATACAATTGCCTATCCTAGATATTTCATATAAGTGAAATCATGCAGTATTTGTCCCTTGTGACTGACTTATTTCGCTCAGCATAATCTTTTCAAGGTCCACCCATGTTGTAGCATGCATCAGAACTTCTTTCTCTTTATAGCTCAGTAATATCCCATTGTATGTGTATACCACATTGTATTTATCCATCCATCTGTTGGTGGACATTTAGGGCTCCAGCAATTCCACGCCTAGGTATATACTCAAAAGAATTGAAAACAGGAACACAAAGAGATAGAGGTACACCAGTGTTCATTGCAGCACTCTTTACAATAGCCAGAAGGTGGAATCAGCTCCCTGTTAAGCTTGTGAATGACTTCTTCAAGAATTTGTCTTCAAATGAAGCTCTTTGTTCTACCATCTTAAAATTAAATACATTTTCTTCTTGTCATTTCCAAGTTCAACTTTGCATTCTTGACTCAAAATCATAGATGTAGATGGAACCGTTTGTTTATTTGCGGGAGGGTTCATGTTCTGATGGGTAATCACTTCTCTATAGGCAACTCTGTCACTCACTCAGGATGAAAAATTGAGCAGTTACTATGTGGAAGCATTGTTGAGTAGAAGGGAATGGTGCTCCTGGAGCTGTGCAACTCTGTGATCGCATCAGGCCCCAGGGAGGGGACACAGGAGACTGACGTTCGCTCTTTCTCCTCAAGAACTCACAGTTTTGTGGGGAAAGCAGGATGTAGAAACAGCAGAGGTGTTGAGTAGCATTGTAAACTGAGTAATGCACCCCCTTCGTGCTGCAGAGAGCTCGGCAGAGGGAAGGTGGCCATGGCTGTGGAGTCAGGAAAGGTTTTCTCAAAAAGATGGGTCTTGAGCTGGGTTCTACATGGTAGATAGGATGTTCCTAGCTGGAGATGAGGAGACCAAGGTGATGGCATGAAGTTTTTTTTTAAAACCACCAGAGTTAAAAAATATTTAACTTATAATAATTTTTTAGTACAAAGCTTTAGAGCAAAGAACTCTTAGAGCAGGAAGGCACCTCATGGAGCAGGTGGTCCAGCCCCTCAGTTTACAGAAGATGAAAGTGAGGCCCAGAGAAGGTCAAGGTCACAAGGTGATCACCATCCTGATTGGCTGGAGGTCATCAAGCATGAGGTTGCCAAGTTCACTAACTTGTGAAAAACCTGGAATGCCAGCAATAAGGAGTTTAGGTATTCTTTGGTAAACAAAGGAGAATTCTTGAAAGTTTTTAAGGAGGAGGATGACCCCTTTTCTGGAGTATGCTGGGGGAAGTTCTTTAGTGAAAAATAAAAAGGGAAACGTAGAAAATGTGCCCAGAATTTATGCTCTAAATTCTCAGGGCCTAGTGAGTGATACAAGATGTTGGGATGATAAGTTACTGAAAAAGGAATAGCTGGCAGGATTTGCTGGATAAAGAAGGGAAACTGATGCCAGGTGGTGTTGTAAAGCGGAAGCAACATGAGTGAGGGCATAAAGGGGGTGGAAACTGAGATGTGAACATTAAAAGCACCTGTGAAACATACGTGCTAGGAGAAGCTTGTGGAAGAAAAATCTGGAGAATTTGAGACCCCTTCCAATTAAACTGTGTAAATATAAAAGCACTAAATGAGGATTTCATAATAGCATGATGTGCCAATTTTTTTTCTAAAGGTCTTAGAACTTTTTGTGTCTCCTAGCTGTGGATTTGTTTCAGGTGTCAGTTTTTAAGTGTTCAGAATGAGTACAAATCTTTTTTTAAAGAACCGAAGTTAGAAAATATTTAACTGATAATTTTTGACTACAAAGCCCTAGAGCAAAAAAAAAATCTTAGAGCAGGAAGGCAGCTTGCGGACCAGACCGTCCAGCCCCTCAGTTCACAGATGGTAAAAGTTAGGCCCAGAGAAAGTCAAGGTCACAAAGTCAAGAGCTGAGAGTAGCTAGACGAGGAACAGACTGTTGTCTTTTTGTTTCTGAGCCAGGTAGTTTTTCCTATACCATAGTGCAGCAACGTTAAGACAACATCTAGGTCACGGTTCCCTGAGACAGCCATGTTTTTCAGTTGTATCGCAATTTGTTTAGATGACTGGAAATGAAGAATGAGGGTGGGAATTAACAAATGACAGGTCATACTAGAAACACGTAAGAGAGGAGATGTTAGATACAAACCTTCCTCTGTGTTGCTTTCCTACAAATCCCTAATTCTCTATATATTGTACAGTCATGAGCCACATAACGTCCTTTAGGGCAACATCCGACCGCGTAAACGTCCATGGTCCCACAAGGTTATAATACCAAAACTAAAACCCGTTGCTGTCGAGTCGATTCCAACTCTAGTGGACTTTTAGGCATGTTCCTCAAAAACAAAGAAAACATTATCCAAGCTGTTAAAAGTACTGGCTCCACTGAAAGCTACAAGGCTAACAAAAATGCGAGAGGGAACTATATCAGATATGGAGAAACTGCTAATGACGTGGATTGAGGACCACACACAAAAGCGAATCCCTCTTAGCACATTCACGATCATTGATAAGGCACGAAGCTTGTTCAGGATGCTTAAAGAAAAAGCAGGACCAGACTACAGACATGGAGTTTAGTGCCAGCTATGGGTGGTTCAAGCACTTAACTCTTACCAGATTGACAAAACACAGGTGACTCTGTGACACCCACCTGCACAGGGAAATTGCTGTGTTATGTATGTTACTCAGATGTCAACTGTCTCCTCATCCTCTGCGTCCCGTGTCCATGTTTGGTTTTGCCACCTGGGGTTTCCCCTCACCGGCCTATCCCCCATGCAGGGCCCAGCCTTGTGGGCTTCTTTCTTTCTCCACTTGTTTTTCTGTTCTTCCCACTTCCTCTCAGGGGCAACAACTCCCTCTCCTCCTCTTAGTCATAATTTAGCAACTAACTTTTCTTACTTAGCCCGTGCTCAGAGTCTCACCTCTACTCCAAGGGGCTCATCCACCTATTTCTTCTAAAAATGCATCTTTCTTTCCTTAATAGGAATTCTGGTCACTCTATTTTTATCATCTCCTTACTTTTCTTTTAAAGGTAGTTATAGTAATAGTGTAATAAAATTTCAGTACAATATCGAATGACAGTATTGTAATAGTTTCAGCATTAACAAGCAGATTTCCAAACCCTAACTGGAGGATTCACTTATTTTAGGTAATGCAACAAAATTCTAATACACACTACAGTGTGTACTGCTATACCCTTTGACTTGATACATTGGAATTT